AATTGAGGAAAAGTATGACAATTTCTTGAAATTCATGGAAGAAGTTAAATCAATTTGTAACGTTGAACTTATTCCGTATCATGAAATTAATAGTAGTCAAGACATGGGGAAGGTTTTAAGACACGTTTATATCATCGGGAATGAATTGAAATTTCGTGGTCCTTCATTTTTTGAACGTTGCTACGACGTGTCCCTCGACCAAGCTAACAAACTTCTAAATTGTGGTTTTTATATTTTGAGCACTTTTGGCCGAATTTGTCCTGTTGAGAGTTACAAAGGGGAGAATCCTCTTCATTGTTACATTGCAAGTCAACAAAAAAATCAAGTGTATCCTGTGATTCACCGTCAATATATTTATTTCTTGTCTGGGAAAAGCAACCGTGATAAGTTTTTCAAGAACCCACTCAAATACACAACTAGGAAAATTACGGAGTTTGTTCTAGTTCCGGCACGAGTTTCAATTATCGGGCCCCCAAAATCCGGGAAAACTAGTCTTTCGGACCGCTTTCGGCGAGATTTAGGCTTCAGGGTTGTTACCCTTGGAGAATCAGTGCGTTATGTCCTTTCGCATCCTTTATTCACAAATTTGCGTCAAGATTTGGAGAAGGTCCTCCGGAAAGGGCAAGCGTTACCCTACGACCTTTTGGCAGAATGTGTCAGTGCTGCGAGTTTTTGTGGCGAGTGTGTCACTCAAGGCTTGGTTTTTGACGGTTTTCCTAATTCTATCACTGGGATGACTCTTCTTACTCGATTTGGGTTGGTACCACACCTCATTTTTGACCTCCAAATTAGCGAAGATCGGGTACTTGAACTTGCGTCAAATCCCAGTGAGAAGTACCCACAATACAGTCAACGTTTTATCCGACATTTGTATAACGAATGGAAAAAATCACAAGAGTTGTTTCGGATTTGGTGCGACCGAGAGTACCAAAATATATATAAAATTTCAGTCGATCGAAGCATTTGGGGGGTTTGGGAGCATGCAAAACTAGTGACTTTATCTGTGATGTTTGAACGGAAACACTACTACCAACATGTTAAGGCTGATTGGCCCTTACGACTTGCAAATATGTTGGTAACACCATTGGAGTTTTTGGAACGTCAAAGTGGGTACAAGACGTATTGTCCTGGTTGTTTGTTTTACTCCCGGAAATTGACAAATGGGGGTGATCCCCCGGATCGTACCGGACTTGTTCAGTACTTAAGCTATTTCTATTGGTTGTGTCAGGAGCATATTGAGGAATTTTTGAAAAATCCAGACAAGTTTTTACCACCAAGCAACGTTTGTTTGCCTCAAGAGTTACCAAAAGTGGTTCAAGTATCAGAACCGGTGCATGCTGTCGAAGATGGCTATTGTGTGGTTTGTTACCAGAAAAATTTCCCTAAGAAGATTCTAACAAGAGGTTCTGTCGACTCTGCGGTGAGTTACCGTGACAAGATTTTCCTCTTTGATGGAAAAGAGTGTCTTCATGAGTTTATGGCCACTCCTGAGGCTCTTTGTTGCGTGACGATTAACTTCAAAGACAATATTAAAGTCTCGTTGGAGTATAAAGATTTGCCGATTTTGGGTATGTTGGAACAGTTTGTGGCAAGGACTGTGGTTAGGGCGTGCAACCATGCGAATTTTTATAGACCGGTTATTCCCGGTTTGAGTATATCGCAAGCTGCGCTTGTTTGTATTGGTTTGAATTTGAAAATTCATAATTTGGGGACGCCACATAATGACAAGTATAAAAAAGCGCTTGAAGTTTTTCATGAAAGGAGGACCAATTTGATCAAGTTTTTGGATTTGATGAAGAAGTATCTAAATCCGGCTGTTTTTTACCAAGAACCGGATACTCCATCGTCGACTGAAGATAGTGACGAGGTTGGGGAGGAAACCGATTATTTTACCAGGAGATATTCCTCGGGTGTATAAATATTTTGTCAAATAAAGTTAATTTCAGTGTTTTTTTTTTGAGGTTTTTTATTTTCTACTATCACTGAGTTTGAGTTTTAATTTTTTTTGTTTTTTTTTTTAAACTCTAGTTAAACTAAAAATGCAGCATTTTGATTGGTTAAATTGCAAAAATTTCCATAGAAACCTAACTAGAGGTTAACCAACGATTGAAAAACCGGCCCTGAATGTCTCATTCCCGAGTTTCTCAATTGGTATATTTTTATAATAAGATACAAAAGTATCAAGAAAATCTTAGTTGAGACACTATCTATCTAGTGCTAATATAGATAACGAACTTTTTTTCAGATTGTAATGATTTTTTAAATAAAATTTGTTTTTTTTTTGTTTTAAAAGTTTCGACATATTACATTTTTGAGTTTGATTAGAATTTTTATTAATCGGTAAAATATTCTTCTTTAAGTGTTATTTATATTGTATTTTTATGTCATTTTTGTTTGTTTTTGATTTTTTGTAGTGTTTTAATTAAAGTATAATATTTTAAGTGTGTTTTATTTTCACTATTACCCAATGCAGTTTTTTTCAACTTGTAAACAGAGTGTTTCACATACGACGTTTTTAGCAAAGTAATTTTTTTTTAGTCTACTTTTTCAAATAATTTTTAACGGTCTATTGTTGCCTTCTTTTTTATTTCAAAAAATATACAAATATTTCACTTAGTGAGAACGAAAGCATTAATACAGTGATAGTGAAAGTTTCTGGTGAGACACCCTGTAGTACTGGGATAAAAATCTATAAAATAAATGTTTCACTGGTATTTTTTTATTGTTTCATTGTTGCATTTTTAATGTTATTCTGTTTGATTATTTTACTAGTTGTAAATATACAGAGTGTCTCAACTAAGTCTTTTTCGGTATACTTTATTTATTTTGGTGTATAAGTTTTTGACATTTAATTGATTTGGGTGTGTTTTTATATTGTGTTTTCTTCTCATTTTTTTTCTATTTTTTTAATGGTAATGAATGTATATAACAAAATTTATAAAATGTTTTACTGTCACTCATTGCGGTTTTTTTCAACTTGTAAATGTACAGAGTGTTTCACATACGACGTTTTTTGCAAAGTAATTTTTTTAAAGTCTACTTTTTCAAATAATTTTTGTTGCGATCTTCTTTATTACAAAAAATATACAGAATATTTCACTTAATGAGAACAAACGCATTAATGCAATGATAGTGAAAGTTTCAGTTGGTAAACCCTGTAGTACTGGGATAAAAATTTATCAAAAAATTGTCCCATTAGTAATTTTTTATTGTTTCATTGTTGCATTTTTTATGCTACTCTGTTCGATTATTTTACTAGATGTAAACATACAGAGTGTCTCGACTAAGACTTTCTCAATATATTTTATTTATTTTGGTGTAGAGTTTTTGACTTTTAATTGATTTGGGTGTTGTTTATATTGTGTTCTCATTTTTGTTTTTATTTTATTTTATTTTATTTTTTGCAGTTTTTTTTTCAACTTGGAAATGTACACAGTGTTTCACATACGACGATTTCTACAAAGTAATTTTTTTGTTGCAATTGTTACAATCTTTTTTATTACAAGAAATATACAGAATATTTCACTTAATTAGAACTAAAACATTAATGCAGTAAATAGTGAAAGTTTCAGGTGGGACACCCTGTTGTACTGGGATAAAAATCTACAAAAAAATTGTTTAACTAGTAATTTTTTAATGTTTCATTACTACATTTTTAATGTTACTCTGTTTGATTATTTTACTAGGTGTACAGAGTATCTCAGCTAAGACTTTCCGAAGATACTTTATTTATTTTGGTGACATTTAATTGATTTAGGTGTGTTTATACTCTTCTCACTTTTGTTTTTATTTTTTAGTATTAGATATTACAATTTTCAAAGTGTTTAACTTTTATTATTACCTATTGCAGTTTTTTTCCACCTTGTAAATGTACAGAGTGTTTCACCTTGTAAAGTATTTTTTTTTACCTACTTTTTTCAAATAATTGTTAATGGTCAATTGTTGAATTTTTCTTTATTACAAAAATGTGCAGAATATTTTATCTGTCGAACAAAAGCACCAAAACCCTCAATTTGATTATTTTACAAACATACAGAGTGTCTCGGCTGAGACTTTCTCAATATATTTTATTTTTTCTGGTGTATAGTATTTGTTTGGGTGTTGTTTAAATTATGTTTTCTTCTCATTTTTGTTTTTATTTTGTTTATTTCTTAATATTGTATATCATAATTTTTAAAGTGTTTTACTTTTATTATCTATCACCCATTGCCGTTTTTTCCAACGTGTAAATGTACAGAGTGTTTCACATACGAGGTTTTCTGCAAAGTAATTTTTTTAGTCTACTTTTTCAAATAATTTTTAATGGTCAATTGTTGCAATCTCTTTTATTACAAAAATATACAGAATATTTTACTTGATGAGAACAAAAGCAATAATGCTATGATAGTGAAAGTTTCAGGTGGGACATCCTGTATTACTGGGATAAAAATCTATCAAAAAAATTGTTTCACTAGTAATTTTTTTTGTTGCATTTTTATTGTTAGTCTGTTTGATTATCTTACTAGGTGTAAACATACAGAGTGTTTCGTCTAAGACTTTCCCAATATATATTATTCATTTTGGTGTATAGGTTTTGACATTATTTATTATTTTATTAGTTTTTTAATATTATATGTCACAATTTTTAAAGTGTTTTACTTTTACTGTCACCCATTGCAGTTTTTTTTCCAACTTGTAAATGTACAGAATGTTTCACATACGACAATTTCTGTAAAATAATTTTTAATGGCCTATTGTTGCATTTTTCTTTATTAGAAAAATATGCAGAATATTTTATCTGTCGAGCAAAAACATTAAAACAATGACAGAAAAAATTTCATCTGGTATAGAAATCTATCAATTTTTTTTTATTGTTTTATTGTTGCATTTTTAATGTTACTCAGTTTGATTATTTTACAAACATACAGCGTGTTTCGGCTGAGACTTTCTCAATATATTTTAATTTTTCTGGTGTATATTTTTTGGTTTGGGTGTTGTTTATGGTGTTTTTTTTCCAGCACGTAGGGTCCCCGTGCCTGATGAGCGATTCGACTACCTCTGCGAGTACTTCAAGCCTGTGAGGTGAGCGTTTCGCTATAAAAATCTCCCTAACGGTGTTTTAAAAATTTTTGAAATATTTTTGGTTGTCGTAATGTGTGTTCCCACCGTCGTTTCGGCGCCGTTAAATTGGCGGCACCCTTATTATAGGCGACTACCGCAATTACCTGGACAATACGTCGACCATTTGAATATCTCGTCGAATTAGAATAACTCGTGGTCCCCATTAGCCATTTCGTCGAATTGATTCGGGTGTGAAAGCATTCGTGTTGTTGTTGCAATTTAATCGCGTGTCAAAGGCCATATTTGAGACACACGAGATGGATAAATGGGTTTTGACTCGCCTCCTCGTTTCCATTATTTGCTAAAACGACTGTTTGTCTAAATTACCACTTGGGGTACTTTGGTTTTTCACCTGGAAATGTATTCAATCGGTGCTTGATTATAGGTTGGAAGAGACATTCCTGATTCCGACAATGGTCGACAGTCTAGACTGGTAAATTTCGGTTTTTGTGTGAATTAAAATCGAATTTACGACATTTTTCAAATTTTTCAATAGAAAGACTAAGCGGATTTTAATTGAATTAGGCCTAATTGAGGATTAATATGCGGGCGTGGACAAGCTAAATAAATAAAACTGAACTAATGACCACGGAATATTGCTCGCTGAATAAAATCATTACATGACAAGTCTTCATTATGCTGAGGACTCATTTACTCGGTAATGATATTTCGACGACTTTCTGGGCGAATTTGAGGAAAAATATTCTTAAACCTAATTTTTTTTTCGAAATTTATTATTAAAATAGTGATTTTCGGGTGGCAGTAATTGGATGTTTTTCATTATTGTGGAAAATACTTTTCATTTCGGTTATTTTTATTTTTTATTTAACCAAATTGTGTCTTCGCTTGTCGTATTTGAAATAATTGTGTTTAAATTTATTTTACACAAGAAAAATACAGGGTGATTCAAAATGACAGTTAACAATATCGTATAGTATTTTGATAAATGTCAAAAATTATGGTACTATTTGGCTCATTTTTTTTTTAATCAACCGCAAGAATTTTAGAATTCGGGTTTTTTTAATTGACTAATTGGATGATTAATATCATGAATGTGAAAAAAACACTTTTAATTTTTGTTGTTTTTATTTTTATTTAGCCAAATTGTGTCTTAGACTGTTTTATTTGAAATAATTGTCTATAAATCTTTTTTTTAATAGTTTAAACTGTGTTTGGCAATAAAACAGTTTACTTTCACTTTATAACAAAAATACAAGGTGACTCAAAACGACAGTTGACAATATTGTATAGTATTTTGATAAATGCCAAAAAAATTATATCACTTTTTGAATGTTTTTTTTGAATCAACACCAAGAAACTAAGAATTCCTAGTTTTATTTGGTTGACATAATTTTATTTTTATTATTATATAAATGTGAAAAAAAAACACTTTCAATTTCTGTTATTTTTATTTTTTATTTATCCAAATTATGTTTTCGATTGTCTTATTTGCAATAATTGTGTTTAAATTCTTTTTTTAAATAGTTTAAGCTTTGTTTGGAATTAGAAAAGCACAAGAATAATACAGGGTGATTCAAAATGACAATTAACGATATTGTATAATATTTTATAAATATGAATATAAAATATAAATAATAACATATAAATGTCAAAAAATGATTTCATTATTTGGCATGTTTTTTTGAGTCAGCATCAAGAATTTTAGGATTTCGTTTTTTCTTTGGTTGACTAATTGGATTTTTATTATCACAAATGTGAAAAATACTCTTAACTTCTGTAATTTTAATTTTTTATTTAGCGAAATTGTGTCTTAGACTCTCTTATATGAAATAATTGTCTTTAAATCCTTTTTTTAAATAGTTTAGGCTGTGTTTGGAATTAAAACAGTTTACTTTTACTTTATAAGAAGAAAACAAGGTGATTCAAAACGACAG